GACCGGTCACAATTAAACAGTCTTTAGAGAAAGTACAAGGAAAAAATCTCGGTAGTTACGTTTACTAAGAGAGCGATAAACTTCTCCCCAGCTTAGGGTCCTCCTCATGCCAAGCACTGAAGCAGCATGGAGAAATCCTGCCTCCTGCACCACGGAGCTTACTGCTTACGCACGACCCAAACCAGGCAGGCGACCACGACGCATAGGTGCTCCTCTGGCCAGCATCTCCATGCCTCAAACAGAATCTGGAGAGCCAACTGGTCACGTATAGGACAAAAACTTAGGTTTGCTTTACTGTGTTGGTCTTAGCTAGATAACTGTATGATTCTGAATCATTTATAGACACCGCTTTCAACCTCAAACTTATCAGTCAGCTATGAAAGAGGAAGAAGATTCACCAAGCAGAGCTAAGGGCATAGCATGTTGCAGAGCATATCGATGTTTTGCGAACAATGTGAAGCCAAATTCACCTTACAATCCATCAAGGGTGAGAAGGCAGCCTCGCCAAGATGAGGAGGTCCCCATCGGAATCTTCGCCTAGTAAGTCGAGTCTTCTGCAATAGGATCTGTCTCACCTAACGTGTAGATATTTATACTATGGATGACTAATCTGAATTAGTCACCCAGACTCCCTTTGCAGAAGAAGAGAAATGAGCACTTCTACAGCAAAACTCATCGCTATTTTAGACTTCTGCATCAAAAGAAAATAAGTATCTGTTTCTCTCCATTGACTAAAAAAGGAATCCTAAGCGGTTACCTCAGATGGAGGCATTTACATCACAGGCATGTGAACTTCAGTGAGAGGTCTCCAGCCGCTTGAAAGCAAAGGCAGAGGCTGAAAGACAACGTTAAAGGGCGGGGGGGTAAGGGGGGGAGACTTAGAAAGTCATGGAAGAAAATAAAAAAAGATAAAAGAAAATTTAGGATATACCATAGACAAAGTAATATTAAAAAGTAATACAGTAAGGGACTGGGAGAACGCAGAAGTAGTAAAACACAACTGAGCACTAAGAAAAACAACCTTCCATATAAAAAAAAAAAGATAACATGCAGTAGAACCAAGTTGAAATCCATCATTTACTATTTTCCAATTTGTTAAATAGAGTGCTGATTGAGCATCTGTTGACCGTTAATCGCGTACTCTGGCTCAGGAGCTGAGGTCCTGGGCCTCCGAGGATGACCTGGATATTCTATTCGCTAGGCTTAGTTTGATCTAATCTAACAGGGAATCGTGGCTTTCGTTAATACTGCTGCGGCCCCACCACTCCCAACCCCTTCGCGTTTAAACTGTCCGGCAGACGTTCCAGCAGCGATGCTCATCTGTTCCTACCATGCCTGTTAAATAAAACGAACCAGCAGAACATGAACAGGGGAAGGGGAGGGAGACTTCTGACAGGCTGGCTCCCTGTAAGCACAGGACCAACACTAGCGCAGAGGGACAAACCAGGAAGATGTTGCGCTGCCAGCTTGGATTAGTGAAACTCAGCCACACCCTGCTTAAATGCAGACGGCGAGAGACCTGCTCTTCTCACTCCTCTCCTTCCCAGGTCACACGTTCCTGCATCCTCCCTTGTGTCAGCGCTGTTTATGCAACTACACATCCAGCTGGGGCAGCTGAAAACGACTCCCTCCCAGCAGGGTCCGCGTTCAGCCCGCTCGGCTCTGCGAGGTCGCCTACCAGAGATACCGACGCCAACACACGGACGGCGACCCGGACCCGGGCCCGCTGATGTCCCGGCGGAACGGCGCCCTTAGAACTGCGGTGCGGGGAGACAGGGGACAGTTTTCAACCGGTGAGCTTATAGTCTCAATTATCCCTCTAAAAAAAGAAGAAATCCATCCTAACAGAAAAGAATTCTATTAAATGGCATAGCAGAGGATCTTCTGGAGGAAGAAAATGAAAAGCAAACAGCAGAAGGAACGCAACCTTTCTCATCCCACCCCGCCGCACACGCGAGAGCCCGCGACAACCTACAGGTTTTGCGAGACTACAAGGAATGAAAAGAAAGGAAGAAATTGCTACACAGAAGGGAATCTAAGCCGCTCATCACCAAATGTCAAGGCGTACCCATCATGCATTTTCTCAGCTAACATAATTAAGCCTACCATAGAAAAATCAAAGACAAAACTGAAACTTAAATATCTTGTGTTCTATTTCCTTCTTCCTTCCTGTAGGGTGCATCAAGACAGACCATCTCCCCCACTGCAGTCTCCGTGTTCTTTTGTCATCCTCCCAGCAAGCAGTGCCAGTCTCTGCTTCGCTGCTATTGCTCCTAATTCTGCCAAACAAAATCAGAATCAAAGTGACTTAATAGTTATCAGTGTCACTGCAGGCCACAGCGCTCTGAATAGCAGCAAACTGCAGAACTGAAATAAAATTTTTATTTAAAAAAAAAAAAAAAAAAAGACAAGTAGCATTGGCGTGCTGGAAAGAAGAGCAGAGCCGTTTGCCAGCTGAACACAAACCTCGAGCTCAAGTAATGGATACGTTTGGGAGGTTCTCTTTGCCAACCACGTAGATCGCCTGCCAGGCCACCGACCAGAGCAAAAGCTGGTGAAAGTTTCTTATTTTGCCTAGGTAAGGGAACAGCTCAAGCTCTGCCTTCTGCAACTTTGCCATTTAACCATAGTGTTGTTTTCTTACGCCTTCCGGTTTCCCCTTCTGTCCAGATAAGATTGCGTCCTCGAGCACACGACCTCATTGACACAACGGTAAGAAACGCAGCATTTGCAAGGCAGTGCCAGCCAGAGGCACCACCGCAGGGACAGGCGGCCCCGGGAGCCGGCACCACGCACGCCGAGGGCAGGGCCACTGCCCCGGAGAGCTTACAGGCCCTGCACGGGAGGAGAAAACAGGTAGGCACAAAGAAAGAGAAACTGAGAGGGAAATGAGTAGCAGCCGGCAGTCGCAGCTCAACGGCTGCAGAGCTTCCACGCTCGGGCTCACGATTTTAACTTCCTTCTTTCGAGGCTGCGTTGCCCTGAGCTAGCTCATCCTGATTTTGCTGACAACCCCCTTTCCAAAGCTCGGTGCCACACGGCGTTTCGCTTGAAGCGACCCCTGCCAGAGGTGACAGTGTTAGTTAGGCTGTAGGCACTGCGGTGCGGCCACGTGTTATCGCAACCACTCGCCCTGCCTCAGCTTCAGCTAGGACTACACGGCATTAATAAGCGAAAAGACCAAACGTCACTTAATTCAGCCAGCGATGTCAAGCTGCCCATTTGCAGACCCGATCCAAACACCACGTGTTCGTGTGGCATTCCAATCCCAGAAAAATCCAAGCTCTCTTGGTCTGAGATTTTTAACCTTGGCTACGAAAGCTTCGTTTCCCGAGATAACTAATATTTACTTGCCCGAGTTTCCCCCCATACCAGAGTTAACAGGCAGGTAAAAATAGCCAAGGCACGTAATAATAATGTCAATATTGGTTACTGCACGCTGCTTCAGCGGATCAAAACAAGGAGCAGAAAGTCCATCATGGCAGGGGGAGGGGAGGATGGTGGGAGGAATAGAGAGGGGGAGAGGGAAAGA